TAAATATTGATTTTCTTTTACTGTCTTGAGTAAATACTCTAAATAATTTAGTTCTAATTTTTATTGGAGAATCTATTAAATTAATGTTAAATTTTTTGTACATTTTTTTCTTAATGCCACCAGAAGAAAGATTTAATCCTGGGTCTAAACCCTTTAAAATATGATATTTTTTGTTATCACGCTCTACTGGTTGATCAGTATTATAGAAAGTAATTTCATACTTTTCACTGATGAGATCAAAAATAATTGATACTGCAATGCCGTCAGTCATTATTGTCCCTGAAAATTTTTAACTTTTTCTCGTTTATTCGAAGTTTTGAAATATTAAACAACCTTTTCCATTTTCGTTCATTTTCAAGATACTTTTATTTCTCTCAGCCTTTACATCCTGCTGAAGTTTGTGAATTCTATTTATTTCTTGATTTGTTGTTAATAATTCTTCATTCAAATTTTTCAATCGTATCTTCATGTCTGTCAAACGACTTTTATTAACAGGATCTTTTTCACATTCCAACAGTTTTATATATCTCAATAGAGTTATTTTATCATTAAACATTTTCTGTTTCTTTTCTTTAACAGGAGAAATAAGATTTTTATGATATTGTTCTTGTTTAGAAATTTCGTCTTTTGAAAAGTTTTTGTTTTTATTTCAATTTTTTATGTTTGTTCAATGAATTTCATTCCTTCTGTTGTTTTTGCAAAAAAATTTCCAAATTCGTTCATTGCAGTATTGGTGTAGGTGATGTATTTTATGCTTAAATCTATAATAGTTTTCAACATTAAAATTTTTGAATGTCACATTTATTGTAAGAAAGAAAATTGTCAATAAGTGTTTTAATTGTAATTCCTTTCTTTTCATCTTCTTCTGCTTCATTGTCAATTTTTTCCTTTTTTAACTGCTTCGACGGAGTAAATGATTTTTGGATGTTTTGTTTCTTCTTTGCCAATTTTCCTCTATTTCTTGAATTTGTTTTTCTAGTGTCGTTTAGTTCTTTGTTGTTTTTAAATTTTATTTCTTGTCCTCTTCTTTTTCTTTTTTGTTTATTCCTATATTGACGTCTTTTTTTGCCTTTTTTCTCCTATCTTTGTGTTTTTTGGCATTTCCCTCAATTTTTTTTACATTTGTAATCTTACTCGATTTTTCTTTCAATAATTCGTATTTAAAAATGTTGCTAGACGATTTCAACAATGAAGAGTTAGATTTGTTTTAAAATTTGTATTCATTTGACACGCCGTTTGTTGAATTTATGCAATTGAATTTTTCAAATGGTCTTCCCACGTATTTTGTCAATTCAGGAATAAATTCTTCTTGTAATTATTTAAGAGTATCGACCTTGTTAGATTTTGAAGGTTTTTCTTTAAAAAAATAGATAATTGTTAAATAATCAGGTCTTTTAGCAGACCACAAATTACGTAAGTAATCATTGTCTGGATGTCTGAATGAAAAATTGACAAAAATTGAAACTAAAATAAAGATTCGAGATAAAAGTTTAGTTTGATTAATAATAATTTTGCGAAATTCTTCATGTGGACAAAAAGATTCATTAAATCCAGTTTTTATTGTTAATTTTGTCTGTTAAGTTGTTTCTTCGTTGTTCTTATTATTATTATTAACTTTTGTTAGTGTTTTATTAATTAATTTTTCAATATCGGGTACTTTGAATTTCGCTTTTGTTACTTTAGATGCCTTTGATGATTTCTTTGGTATATTACTTTTAATGTTTGTATCTTCTTTATCCTTTTATGATTTACCTGGTGGAAAAATGTCTTTTTGAAATTCTTCAAAATCGTATATTTCATTTTCGGCGAATATCAGTAAATCCTCCTATTAGTTGTATTTAATTCATCAAACAGGCTTTGTTTTCTTCATTTACACTAAGATTACATCTTCTTCTTGGAGTAAATACTCTATACTCTGTCCATCGAGAGTTTGCCCTCGGTCGCGCAATTTTTCTCTGAGGGCGTTGAAAAACTTAAAAATGGCGTTTCCGTAATTTTTTCATCGGAAAAATAGCCATTGACAATCGTTTCGGTCTCTTACCTTTCCACACGGTCTTAGGCCCTCACGAGTCAAAGGGTAATTTATGACCTTTATACCTTAAAGGGGACATTCAAATGGTAATGACTTAATAAAAAATACAAAGTTTTTTAATTTTGTTCTTACAAAATTAAAAATTTTATTTTTGAAATCCTCATTTTATTGTGGTTTCAACAGTATGTTGTTTGACTATAATACATTAAAATTTAAATAATTCACAAATTCAGTGATTAATGAAATGTTTGTATGTACACATAGCTTTTTAGAATTTATTATAAACTTTTTATTTAACTTAATTATTAATGTAAGTTTGTATTTTTAATTATTATTAATTATGATTAATTAATTGATATACATAATAACAATTAAGTCATTCACTGTAATTAAAATTTTTATTATTTAAATAATAGTGCATCTTGAGTTTACACTCATGATGTTATTACACTTATTACGAAGTATTACGTCTATTACAAGATAATTGTGCACTAATACACGAGTAAATACCCCCACAACAAAACATATAATTTGTTTAACATACAATATACACAAATCTTTTTCTTTATTCACTTTCTGAACTAGAATCAACTGAAACATTAATAACAATTGCAGGGATTCTGTCTACTAACTCGTCAATACGATGATCAATATTCCAAAATTTCTCTTCTTCACGGATAACGTGCCTGACACAACTTTGCCAATTTTCTGATGTGACGCGATTTATCCCCTCTAATAATAACTTTTATACATCTTCTAGTTTAAATGTAAAATTGTTAGACTTAACATAACGTTTTACCATGGACCACACTATTTCAATTGGATTTAATTCGCAATGATATGGAGGCAATCTTAAAATAATCTTATTGGTTTTTTCGCTATTTCGTTTATTATATATGAATTATATTGTTTTTTATACCTTTTACTATATTTAACATCTGAGCTTTAATCATAGTTTCATCATAATTAAGTCCCTTCTCTTTCAATCAGTTTTGTATATCAACTTTTTTCCACGTTGCAATTGGCACTTTTTCCACTTTCACTGATTGTGAGTGATATGAAGCATTGTCCATTACAATCACACAATCGTCTTCTAATTTTGTTATTATATTTTCGAACCCTTCCTTAAAATTTTCTCCATTCATCTCGTCATGGAAATCCATGGAATTTTTTTTCGACTCGAAAAATAATAACCCTTCTTCCACAAAACCCTTATCACTCCCGATGTGGAGAACTATTATTCGTTTTCCTTTTCCAGTCAGATTTGGTGGTCCTGTTATTAAACCTCGGAGGAATGCTTGTCTTCCAGAAACGATTGTTTCATCATACCAAACTCTGCTTGAAAGATCGCCTACATTTACCCAGGTTTCATCCAAAAAATAAATAGTTTTCCCTTCTTCGCGATATTTACAAATTTTTTCTAAATATTCCCTTCGCCATAAAACTAAATCATTCCTTTCTAATAATACACTATTCCTTTTTCGCTTTTGGTATGTAAATTTCAATTCTTTTAATACAGAATGTATGGAAGAACAACAAAGATTCGGAAATTCTTCTTCATCATCTAAAACTGATTTTAATTTATCTAACGTTGGCAATTCCTTATTGACATAAAAAGCATGAACGTTTCTTCTGATAAGGGTCTTCTGTAATTCATCCAATTTTTGAATGATTTTTGATAGAGACTTAGTTCTATTTGGAGAAATAACAGTACCGCTCTGTTCATATTCTAAAAGAATTTTTTTTTTGATCGTTCTCTCTCCAATTGCAGTTTCCTTACTTATGTGCAAAATTGCATCTTTTTGTATAATGTTAGGATTAACTTCTTTCAAATTTTTGAAAATGTTTATTGCAATTGTTCTTATACGACTCCCAATGAGCTGAAAATTATGTTTAAAATCATTCATAAAAAATTTAATTTCTGGAGATATATATTTTGTTTAAGTATACAAATACATATAATAAGAGAAAATTTATTACCTGGCCTCTTTTATTTCTTGAAACTGGTAAAAGTTGATTCTCCCCTTCCTCCATTTTTATCAAGTAATAATCAATAAAAAATTTAAAAATAATAATTATTGAACAAGCTAAAACTGTATATAAGTTTAAACAGTATCTACTACTGATGTCGGCAATAGACTGACGAACGCAATGTAAAATTTCTTTAAAACTGTGTCGATGAGCAAGCCATGTCTTTACCTGATCTTTCAGACAAAAGTTACTTCCAGAATTTATTAGACACATTGCAGGAAATTGTACATCATAATTTTAAAGATTATCTATTTATTTATGTCTAAAAACAGAGAAAAATCCAGACCCTTTTTAAATAACTTTTTGTTTTATTGAACCTTAAAAACCTTAAAATTTTTTTACATTTTTACTTTAAAAATTTGGATGTAAGGTGACACTTTTTCATTTTATTTTCACAAGTAATTATAAAATACCAATTTTGTTCACGTAAAATATTACAAAAGGTTTCCCAGTTGTTTTCTTATGTGAAATAATCCTAATTTAAAAATCGAAAAAACTTGATAATTTGTTTTAAGTCACTTGAAATAATTTCCGTATTTACTAGCTACGTTACTGACTCTTCCATTAGATTCAAATTTTTTCACACAATCCAAGATTTGAGTAGTTGCGTATTGTGATTGGTCAGACCCTCTTTTTGAATACCTCGAATTTTGTGATCCTAGACGTTTAAATAATTAAAATTATAGATTTAAAAAATACTATTTTCAACTAGCACGCAAGGTATCTTGAGAACTATTTTTTCATGTAAGCTGAATTTTTGAATGTAGATTTGCAAAGTATAATAAATTTTTTGCGCATTTTTCTTTAAATTTTTAATATAAGTAGGTATCTATTTTCTTTTTTTTAACTATTATTATCCTTCATCTTGTAGTTGTATGTAAAAAAAGATAATTTTTTTATTGTATTTTGTAGTCATACATTTATAATTTAATTTCAGACATTAAGTCCAAGACCAATAACGGCCGATCAAGAAAAAGTGCAAGCAACAATTAAACAATTAGTACGTGATTGGAGTACAGAGGGAATGGACGAACGAAATGCCTGTTATCAACCAATAGTAGATGAAATTTTGCAGCAATTTCCTTTGGACTATTGGTATGATTAAATATTTATTTTCACTTTTATTTCACAATAGTTATTATTTATTTTCTCTTTATGGGTCATTCATGAACTACGTTACCTATTGCAGGGGGGGAGGGGGTCAAAAAGTTTATAAAAATGCATTTAACACAATTTGTAACGAGGATGAGGAGGATCTGAAAAATGTAAAATAGGTAACGTAGTTTATGAATGGCCCCTTTATTTTGCAAACTTAAAATAAGGAATCAGTAAAATTTCAATCCATTAAAATTTACGTGTTGTCTAGGAGTGCTGATTTATTTATCAATAGTGTAAATTTTAATGATTATTTATTATTGGTCCCTGCCTTTGAATTTATCTCCTAGAAATAACATTTATCTAAAATAAAATTTATCATCTGATCCTGGAATTTGTAAATAAATTAAAGGATGGCTACACCGAGAGCCAATCAGGATGGTTTTTAATCCTCTGCCGTACTAAACAAGTGGACTAAATTTTGCGACTGCGCAGAATGTTTGTGTTCATCTGCGACCACGGTTGCGATAGTGATAGGTTAGAAAAGGCGATCACGTGGTCGCCAAAGCCAGCGAACTTTTTTAACCTGTCACTATCGCAACCATGGTCGCAGATGTACACAAACATTCTGCGCAGAAGCAAAATTTTGCCCACTTGTTTAGTACGGCAGAGGATTAAATTTAACCATCCTGGTTGGCTATCGGTGTAGCCATCCTCTTAGTTGGTTTTATTTTTTTTAATTATGTACTTAGCAGGAAATATTATAAATAATATTTAGTCATTTTTAAACGACCTTAGCTAATGGTGAATTTAAATGAAATTGTACAATAAAATCCTGTATTTCGAAAATTTCTACTTTTGGAGTAAATAATAAAATTATTTTACGATCTGCTGGAGAACATAATCACGAGGGTGATGAACAAAAAATATTAAGGGAACAAATTAACTATGCTTGTAAAAGAAAAGCGAGTGAAGATTGTTCTGAACGTCCCCGCCGTGGCGCTCCCGGCTTCGGAATAGGGCGCCTGTAGCCCACTGCATGTCGTTAAAGGAGACTATAAGGGGTGCGGAGGGTTGTACCCATCTAGCTAAGTACCGCTTCGACGAAGACGCTAAGATGGGACATTACCGATGATGTATGAACGCACTACGCCTGCCAGGTGTTCACCATGTGAAATGGGATCCTCCCCGTGCAAGGTGGCCGTGGAAGTCCGGCCGGAGAACTTGTCTTCCCGTATCCCATCGCGTGTCGTACGAGGCGACTAAAGAGGGAAATTTGAACGCAGTACGCTTCCTCGTCCGGAGGCAGGGTGAGACCGTTGTGGTTTCAGACTGCGGTCTGGGAGCTGATGTTCCACGTGGTCCCCGTTGGAAGTGCAGGATTCTTGTCCTCGCTAACTCACGCCCACTTCTGTTGGGGTGTTATCGGGTCCAAGATCAATGTTACTAACCGTTCCGCCATTTCATTGGGCACCCTATTGTATAAGTGTGTGTGTGACCTACCAGACCATCGGTGGATGGAGCTTAGCTCGGAGACGGAACCTCCACGAGGTCTTCGCTGGGTACTTTGATTCCCTTCTTCCACTCAAGTTCTACTTGCACGGGCGTAGGGAATCAATGATAACCGTCTCCTCCTGGAAGGGCACCCGGTCTTCTTCGCTGTTTTGGATCTTAAGGACCTTACAACGGCAATTTTTCCCTCCTCTTTCCCCATGGTGCATCGATAGCGAGGCGGCTTGCCAAATCGCCGCCGTTTCAACATGTCGGTAGTTCTTTCGTTAGGGGGTAGATATGCTTATTTTAAGATCGGGAGTTATAGTCCTTAAGGACCCAGGCATCCCACTCGGCCTTGAGCACGACGATAAGCGCAATTCTGTTATCTGAACGTCCTTCGAAATTTATAAGAGATGAATTAGGTCTTCCAGTAGTTATCATCAAAACCTAATGTGGACAGAATCTGGCAAAATGGATATATAACGTCCGCAGAAAGTAATTTCTGCCTGTGACAAAAAAAATTATTTTCACATATAAAACAAATTTGACTATATACAGCTTATAAAATTTATTTCGATGGGACTTTTAAATATTGTACGAAGTTTTTTGGGAAATTATTTACAAAATACACGGCTGAATTGACAATCAATATGTGCCTCTTGTTTTTAGCCTTTTGCCATCAAAAACTGAAAATTCGTATAAAAGAGTTTTGTCATGGATTAAAGGAAAGTGTGCTGCTCAACTCCAACTCAACTTTAGTCCAACAGAAATCACTTTTGAATTAGGCATTTAAATCGCCTTAAGATATATTTAACTACATGTAAATATTATCGATTGCCGTTTTCATTTTACCCAAGCGTGATGGCATCAAATTCAATAACAGTTCTTAAATCCGGCGTAAGTGGAAGATTGTTTCATAACGGATTTTTTCCCTTTAAAATCAGAACATCCACTATTAGACGATTACGTCGACTACATTTTAGATACGTACATTTCGCAGGATTCTTTTTATTCTCCTTAAGTAAGGTCAGATAATACTGTGGACATAAGAACGACAAATGATTGTGAATCGTTTCACTCTCATTTTAATGAAACGTTTAATCCTTACTTCCCTCCTGTGTATACACATTTGTAGAGAAGTTTAAAAGTGTATAAGTTCATGTGTATGTTTAAATCCAAAGTTTTGGTATGCCACGACGAAATCATGACAAGCGAGTTCAACTTCGACAGAGTTCAATAACTAATTTATTCAATTTGTATAATAATGCAATTGTCACAAGGTATAAATATGTGTGCGTAAAAAAGAGCCTCGGCGCAATTTACAGGTCAGTTTAAAAAGCTTTCCCAAGGTAACCTAAAAACATTCAGTGAAGTTTCAGGGAATTGTCGGTGCTGTGTAGGTTATAAGTAGGTAAAAATTTGCACGGCGCAATTTTGGCGCTATTTTTAAAAATTTACCAATCACGATTTTCTTGATAATTTCTGATTGGTCAATTTAAAAAATCGCGCATAAATCATTCTGATAATTTTAAATTCGGCCATTTCTAATTTCAGACAAATGATGATTCGTCGTTTTAAGAATGTTATGAAATAAAAATATTCGAACAAATGAAGATTCGGTGAATTAGAAATTTTGACATTTAAAAATTCGTTTTTTTTAAGTTTAAAAAAATGTAATATCTTAAAAATTCAAATTAATTAGTATTAACTGTGCATAAAGTGAATTTCTACTTTTTGCAAGTAAAAATATTTTTTTCTATGACTTCCACTTCACAAATTTGGTCACCATTTGTTTTATTTTTACCTTTCCTATAAAATTAGTAATTAAAATTCTTTATGTCCCAATTAATTATAAATGTTTATAGTAAAATTTGGTTTTATGGCTTTTTATAGGACAAGTAAAAGATATTAAGAAACATCTTTAACGTTTCGGAATCGGTACCGATTCCCTCATCAGAATTTATTTCATCTAAAAGAACAATGTTACAATTAGAACTATTTTAAGGTTATAAATTCAAAAAATGCGAAAAAGAAAAATACATACTAATTAATCCTGAGGAATTAATTTTAATAGTTGTGAATCAAATAAAAGATCATTTCTGAAAAGAATTTTGGTTATATAATAATTTAAAATTTTAAAAATACTTTAAATCTTTTTGTTATTAAATTCAAAACATACCTGTTAGTATTATTAAGAAATTTTTATGATTTGAGAAATGATATGTAAAAAATTAAAATATTTTAAAAAAGGGGGAATTTAGAAAACTTTTTTAAAAAATTATTAATATTAAAACGGATTTTTTGATCCATTTTTAGTTGAATCACAACCACTAACTGACAAAAACATAGAATCATATGACATGTGGAAAATAGGTTAGGTTAAGTATTGTGTAAGTAACGCAACGTTTCATAAAGACGATATGATATACGGAGTTTTACAAGAATTTGAAAGTCTTTTTTACGAAAAACAGATTATCATATATAAATACATTAAAGAGAATAATTACAGTAATTTTAAAAGTCTATTATATGTAGAGTCAAAATTTGCTAAATCATTCATTATATTTAAACTTTTGTCTTTTTCTTTTTTTATATAAAACATTTCTGCAATTTTTCTTTTTGGTAAACTACTTTCTTGGTGTAAAATTTTAACATTATTCCAATCAAAATCGTGATCGACACCATCATTAAATTTTTTAAATCTGTGTTTCGTAATAACAGAGTGGTACTTTTTTTCTAAACGGTAGTTAGTTTTATGTTGTTTACATCTGGTTTGAAGTAATCTACAAGTTTGTCCAACATAGGTACTGTCACAGTTTTTACACTCAAGTTTATAAACTACATCTTTATTTTTCATGTTATCCAATTTATCTTTACCAAGTTTAATAAATTTACTAAGAGAAGAGCCTCTTCTGAATAGTGTTGTAATATTATAATTGTTTAAAACCGATTTAAATTTGTAAGAAAGATTGTTATGGAAAGGAATAGAAAAAGTACGATATTTGTCAACTTCAAAGTCTTTTTTAGTTATTTTATTAATATTATTATTATTGTTGTAATTTTGTAATTGAAAAGTTCTTGCTTTAATTTGTTTATTTATAAATTCTAAAGGGTAGTTATTTAATAATAAAATTTCTTTAATTAAATTTAGATTTTCAAAATGGAATCTTTTGTCAGCTAGCAATATTGCAGAATCTACTAAATTTTTAATAATACCAATTTTTTGTTTTATTGGATGATTGGACAAAAAATTAATATATCGTCCAGAATATGTACTTTTTTGGAACCAGTTGGTTATGATCGAATTATCAGGTAATTTTATTATTTTTAAATCTAAAAAGGAAATCGAATTATTTTTCTCAATTTCATACGTGAACTGTAATTTAGGGTTATAACTATTGAATTTTTCAATGATGAAGTCTAATTTATTCCTAGGAACAATAAGAAAAGTATCATCGACATATCTTCTATAGAAAGGAATCTGAAAATTTAATGAATTAAAAACT